GCTGCTGCAGCCACTTGGGTTAGTCTTTCAAGTTCCTGTGAAAGATAAAAAGTCATTATAAGACATGGTGTATATAACAAGGAGACAGATTCCTTGACAATGAATGGTGACTTTACCAATACATTCGTTCTGAGCTATCCAAACTCACATCATGAGGAAAGGGCAACTTAAAACTGAGGATTTCATGAACATCATCATCTTTTACAAGTTCTACATAATAGATATAAAAGACAAGCAAAAATAGAACAGCCTAAAAAATATATAACAAGGGATTCTGGTGATGCATGTCAAACTGGGATTTGGATACTAGACCACATAGTCAGAAGCTGGGGGAGACTCTACCTGGATTTCTTCTGTGGATTCAGGTGCAGGACTCTAGAAAGCCAAAAAAAAAAAAGAAGAAAAAGAACAAAAATACAAGGTGAGAATGACAAAAATAAAACAGAACTTAAATTACTCAAAGAACTGCATTTGCAAATGATTAGGATAATAGACTACCATGCTTCACACAATTATGTAAAAACTTGCTGCTCATGCAGAATCATATTTCATCAAAATTCACTCAATCAAAATCATATCCTGAGCTATACCAAAAAGTTTTTTCACCGATACAATTACGTCTTTATGTAGATTCATGCTTGTATAATGGTATTCGATATGAATGTTTCATATAACTTGAGAAGGAAATAGAAAATGCATTACTACTGTCGCAGGAAATATATAATCATCCCTAAAACGGTCATATGCTCAGTGCTATACAGTTCCACACAGGCAAATATCATTCCAAAAAACTGAAAATACACACAAAACAAAGACTACCTGCCCTTCAGAACAGATATGACCAAGCTCTCTATGGCATACACTTACTCTGCGTTCCTTGTTCCACTCCTGTGACAATCCATCCATTTCCTCCTGTAGCTGCATCTCACGTTGCCTAACCATTTTCTCAGCTCTAGACTTCCAGGTAGCTTCAACCTCTTTGATGTGAGCCTCATGCTGAGTTGTGAGGTCTGCAAGCTGATCCTCATACTGTTGAACAAACTTGCACAGTTCCTCATCTTTCTCCTAATTAGAGGAAAATGAAGGGGGAGCACAGCAGGGAGATGGGCAGATGCAAACCATTATCAATAGGGACATGTGAGCAGGCAAGTAAGGCACACAAGATCAGAGTAAGTGTCATCAGAGGAGATGCAATAGTTGTTGAGATACACCACCAAAAAATTTATTTTTCCCATCCCAAAAAATAGTGTTTTATGCATCATTTCACAAAGATCCACAGGTAAATTGAGATCATGTTTTATAGTATTTCACAGATCAGGTGGAAAGGTTGCCAATCGCATGATAGTTTCATCCAACGTAGGCAATAATTCATTGGAGTTTCAGGGGGTTTTGTAGGGCACACACACGGTCCACAGGTGGTCATGAATCCAATACCAAATCCATGTAGGGAGAGAAAGAGGGAGTGAACATTAATAGGAGAATTCATGCATTATATAACAGACATTCCAAAGATAAAGGCATGGGAGACTGAAAATTCATCCCTGAACTGAACTGGGAAAGTTATAATATACAAAAATAAATAAACAAATAATAATAGTAATGTATCAGCCAAACTAAAGTGATTTTCACACTGACCCTGAGCTTGATGGATACACTAATTGTAAAAGAATATACCAGGAGGCTGATTCATAATACATAATAATTATTGAAAGAAAAACATGAAACACAAGACTATCTCGAACCAGTTTCCAATTAAAACTAAGACATTAATCAAATTTGTTCCTGGTTATAATCCTCTAACCTTGAGTTTGCCTTGGTACTCATGGACAACAGAGTCAAGGGCTGATGCCTTCTCCCGAGCCTCTTCCTGAGCTTCTCGTATGGCTTCGCGGTGCTGACGCACAAGGGAATTTGTTTCATTGTCTTGTTGGTCTGCACATTAAGGAAAAAAATTCAACATTAGTATCAGCATATTCACACTTCCATACTTTGTAACAAATCAAAAAATACAAATGCCTTCAGTTAAATATAGTTAAAAACAATCATGTTACATAACCAATAAACAAAAACACCAATAATAATAATAGTAATAGTAATAATAATAATCATAACAATAACAACAAAAACAACAACAACAATAACATTCATCATCATGATCTTCATCACATCACAGTAACAATAACAATAACAAAAAAAAAAATAATAATAATAATAATAAAAAAAAAAAAATAATAAAATAATAAATAATAATATAAAATAATAATCATAATAATAATAACATTAATAACAATAATAATAATAATAATAATAATAATAATAATAATGATAATAATAATAGTAATAAAAATAAAAATAATAACAATAACAATAACAATAACATAACAATGACAATGACAATGACAACAGATAGTATAGTATAGTAATAGTAATAGTAATAGTAATAGTAATAGTAATAGTAATAGAAGTAGTAATAGTAATAGTAATAGTAATAGTAATAGTA